TTTTGTGTTTTAAGTTGTACATGCCTTTTAGTGACTTTTTAGTTACATTTCCACTCTTGAGAGTGTAAAGTGCAGTGCACTGTTGACAGGAGAAGAAGTTTGTCCTCCGGTGTTGAACCGTATCTAAATGGAAATAAAAAGTTCCAATTTTTTCCTCTTACCTCTGCCTGCGCTGCCTGCACTGACACTGTTGCTCTGTGGTGGAAAATTACTGTCAGTGATTCATTGTATGTCTGTGGACTCCACATGTCACCAAGGCTTTCAATATGACACATAAGTCCAGGCACACACTCTAAATACAAAAAAACACCCCTCAGAGTGAGATATGATGGTACAATATGTTCTGTAGTGGAATGTATGATTATTCTCTGTTAGTCTAGATATGTCTACATCATACACTAAAGCAGTGGTTCCCAAAGAGCGGGTGGAGGCCCACAATCAGGCAGCAGCTCAGTAGATCTTACATTTAAGTGTGATGCCTTGTTACTTTGAAGCTTTTAATTAAAGACTTTTAGGACAAATATCAGTGTTTTCTCGGAAATCATACCGTTTTTTATGACATGGCAATGTGTTGTATGCAAAAGCAGAAACCAAAACAGCAGATTCTAGGTTTGGGCTTTGACAGTAAATACAACCTTGATTTCACAGAGCTCTTTCTCTGCAGGCTAAATGTGTAATTTTCAAACACAGAGGATTCTGCATATTTCGTTCTGGTCCAAATTACCATTTAGCCTCCACGTTATCTTCTGTGAAGCAGCAGGAGAAAAACAAATGGTTTTTGTGCTGCGTCATAATTATCAACTCCCTGCCACAAGACAGAAGTCGAGAGCTGGAGTGTAGAAGATGAATACTAATACTCTTTCTTCTGCACGTTACTGGTTAACAGGAACCAGTAAGGAGAGATGTTTACTGAAGTCAGTATAAGTATAGCAAAACTATAAAATGCTAGAAGTTTGTTAAATGAATTTAAAACAACTTTACACATCAATTAAATGCTACAGGTTTGACAAAAAGAGAAATGTTAGCAAAAAAAACCCCCCAAAAATCAAAACATTATCATAGAGGGGAGATTCGGCTAACAGTGAGCTAAATGTACAGTTTATGAAGTCACTGCCTTTTGAGATGTTTAAAAAAAACAATAATTAGCCTCTCCACAGACAGCTATATTACTGCTATAAAGAAATAGGCCTGATGAGCTACAATAAGATTTACCGAGCCCACCCTGGAGATAGCTAAAGGTTTACAAAGCACTCAAAATGAACAACAACAACGATTGTCAGTGACACCCTTTCTCCCTCTTCCTCTCTCTCTCTCTCACAGATATAAATTCATAAACACAGACGTGAACAACCGGCTGTGCAAAAATAAAAACACAAACTGAGCTCAAGTTTTTTTTTTCCTCCCAAATATTTTCCATCCTTATTATTTTTATCCTCTTTGTTCTGCTGTTTACTCAGCCCTCCAAAGATAATAAGCCTTTTCCTCTGTCTCCCCTCCTCCTCCCCCTCATCATATTACTCTGTCTTCATCTTCCTGCTCC